TGTTCTTAGCTTATCATAATGTTTGTTTGTTCTCCAAACATTTAATTGTGCAGTTTTCCATCATTCACAGAATCACAGGGACCTTGCCACCAAAGGTGGTGGAAATAGTTTGGAGGTCATGGTTTTATGTGGGTTGTATCGTCTTGATAAAGTAAGAACATTTATTTGTCCTAGTTTCCTTACCTCTTTTTCTCTATCCTTCTTTCGTACACACGACATGTGATATTGTGGACAGGTGGAGGTTAAGAAATTTATGAAAGCTCTTCTTGCAGGAAAGTTCAGGCAAGTATGACATCCTGTGAGTGTGATTTTATTCTTTGTTTTTCTATTATTGTTGCTTGAATTAGTTTATTTAAGGGTTAAGGTCATAATTAATCACTAAATTTTTGAAATTTTGTTCATTTGGTCACTTGACTTCTTTTACGATTTCAAAGATCATTAAACTTGTTAATATTGTCCAAAGTGGTCATCATGACCAATAACAAGTTTGCATTTGTTTTTGGCTATTTAAGGTCATTGAACTTTTTCTTAGAACTAGGTTGCATGTTCTGCTCTGGTTCTTATCCATTATATTCTTGAAATCGAATTAAAAAAATGATGTGTATCCCTTTCCCTTCAACATGACATATCCGAAAGTGGTGATCTATTAGATACCGGTGACGATGGTGATATACGTTATAGTGTGAGGTACGGCAGAAAATTTATCTATCCTTGATGCATGCCCTGTTTTTCTGTCTGTGTGAATAACTTTTTTTTATCTTACCAATTGTCCGTGGCATTATTCCCTCTAAGAAATTGTTGAAACAAAGACCTAATTTCTGCCTTGTTAACGAAATCTATTGAAACAAAGGCCTAATGTCTTGTGCAATATCATATGATATCAGGATAGTATATAGATTACTCCTACTGATTGAATTTGCAGCAGTTTTGTTGAGATGAACAATTGAGCATCATCTATCTGTACGTACGTTAGAGCTAGCTAGTTTTGCTTTTTCTTGGCAGATGTGTTGGAACTTGGAACATGAGCATCAACATAATAATGCACTCATGTTATACCTAAACTCATAAAACCTGTAAGATTGCATAATTTAATTGAGTAATCAAGTATGACATCAATAAATGAAACTTAATCATCCTTTGACATATCATTATGTTGCAATATAGTATGGCCTTGTTTTCATATAATTTGAAGTAGTTTATTCATAATTATATGGTGTTTTCTGAATTTTAGGATTTTTCTTATTTGATAGAAGTAAATAAAGAGTAAAAAAATTATTAGAGTAATTGACGTAAATGGTTCTTGTAGTATAGAGAAGTAGGTTCCTATAGTTTACATTTATTATAGAATTGGTTCTTACTATTAACACTCTTAGAAATCTAAAGCGAATTACCTTCAAAAGGACATTTTTACTCCAATTTTATTTTTCACTAAATATTTTATGTTATTAAGTTTGTTATGTGATATTATTTTTATGATACAAAATTTTATAATTTAACATGTTTATAATACTTAGTTTTCTACTATTATTCTATATTTGATCCGGTGATCAACAAATAACCCTATTCAATTATTTTTATAAAAAACCTTATATTTTGTTTTTTTCGTTTTGGATCTAAAACTTTTTTTTAATAAACCTAATTTTACCTATTCATTGTTATTACATTAGTTGAGCCGGTTACCAAAATGTAACCTTATACTCCTCTAAATCATGTGTGTTATAATCATCAATCATCTAAAAGAATAACTTATTCTAAAATCCTAGGGATAAACAACACTTACATTAGCATAATAAACGAGCATAGTCGTAGTAATAGGCAACGGAAGCTCAAGATGAAGGTTATGAATCCAACATGTTTCTAAAACCACATTAGCAACAACTTGGTATCCGACCTCGATATGTGTCTGACGCGGTCGATGTTAGTTTATTATAAACCACATTAGCAACACCTTGGAATTCGCATATTCGACCTCGACGTGTGTTGGGACAACCAACCCAGTCAATTTTAGTTTATGCTTTAAGACGTGTGGAATGAGTATTATAGGGTGTAAGGTCATAATCAAGAGGACACTGAACACGACATAGTAAGCACTTGAAAGCTACCATATGGGATTGATCAATAAGTGCATACATGTGGAAACATATATACTGAACTACATATTGTTAGATTCATGTGTCTAAGGTCCTAACTAAAATGGTATAATGTTGAAGAATAAAAGTAAAATCTTTTTTAGGTTGCCCCCATAACCAAGAAATGACTTGGATTGATTAGAGGAGAGAGATATATGATTTATTAATATATTAATGAGAAATAGTAATAATTTATTAATAATTAAACAGAGTTAATTTAGAATTAATTAAGGGTTAATTGAAATTAATTAATGGTACGAGGGCTGAGTTGTAATTGTTAAATAGTTGAAAAATGGACTAGAACCTTCTACAAGGTGGACGATGTTGGAGGACCCTATTAAGGGTTCTGGACATAGGGTCTGGAAGCCTTTATTTGATAATTAGGAAACTGCATAATTACTGAATTTCCATTTGATAATTAGGAAACTGGATAATTACTTAATGTGAAATATTATTAATATATGATCAAATTTAGGGTTTCCAAGCAACTATAAATAGAGCCTTAGCCCCTTGGATTTTCGGCTAGTCTATTCTATAGAAGCAAATCCGAAAGTTTCATCTCTCTCCCCTCTCTCCTCTCAATATTAGGGTTCTTGTGTTATGGGTGTGAAACATTATAGGCTCGCATAGTATTGGAGCTAGTTTTCCAAGGAGACAACAATTTTTGATTAGCTTGATTGGAATCTGCAAAATGTGTGTATTCTTAACCATGAATTTCGATTAATATAGTTTAGTTTGTGTTATTCATAAGTATGTTGCTATTAGATGTGAAAAAGACATAAATCGAAATTAGGTTGCATGTACCCTTAAGTGTTAAGAGAATTTCTGCATGTACATTGATTTTATAACCTAGAATCCCCATCACATATGAGACATGCGATCAGGTGAATGTGAGGTATTGAAGCGCTCCAGCAAGGTTGCAATATAAAGTGGGTTAGAGTAAGGTTGCCTATCATTGGTATTAACTTTTCCTTTTTATCGATGAGAGTGAGTAGATTTTCAAGATGGTATTCAAATACTTCCATAACATATTTCTTTGAACATAAAACAATCCACTTGTATGACAGGAAAGAGTGACATCAAGAAGATAATTAAGTCCAAGATCCTTCATGTGCAAGTTTAACCATGATTTTGGTACGAAAAGTGATATGCCGATGCTTAGAGCACACATTCGTTAGGGATATAAGGTTACATGTTGATAACTGACTTCATTAATGGAATAATAATTAATATGTTAAAGTTAAGTTTATTTTGAAAAAACAGATCTAAAATGGAAAAAAATGCAAAAAATAGAGCATTTTATTGAATAAAACCAATTTACCTATTGATAAGCGACTTTCAATGAATAGGTAAAAGTAAGATTTACTTTAAAAAAAATATAAGTTTTAGGTTTAAAACAGAAAAAATGAAAAATGTATGCTCTTCTATGGAATAAACCATTTATTTTAGGAATAAATATAGTTTTACAGTTTGAATCAATATGATTGAGTTAATGGTTGATCTTGTTTCACAAAAGTTCTTATCAAACCCAATAAGAGATATATCAAATACTATACAATCATATCAAAGACTTTTAGTTGTGGTATCAATCGGTCACCCAACCTAGCCTAATAACAATAAATATCGTTTGTAATTTATGTTTGAGTGTAATCTTGAACTTGGATACAAACCTTGGGGGGCTAACTTAAACTTTATGCAATTTATCGTCTTTGTCCTCTGGATGAATACGCACTCACTTTGGCGCCTTTCTTTTGTCGTCATCGAACAACTCAATGTCCGCAACCGCGTTCCACTCGAGAGCTGAAATTTTGCGGTAATTTTGACCCAATTTAGATGTTATCGGTACTGAATAGTAATACTCCGTTTTTTTATTAATATTGTTAATAGTATATTTGATAATTTAGTGATTACATGCTTGAACAAAGTGTATATTTAAATGGCTTGTTTCATTTCAGAAATCCTTACTTAGAAATTGGATCAAGTACGGCGTTACTGTGTTTTCTGTTTTTGTTTTGTTTTAACAATTGAATTATATGATATGCATTGCTAGTGAAACCTAGGGTTTGGATCTGCGACTAGAGATTGTTAGATATATTTCAGTAAATGCTAGAACTTACTCCCAGCCAGTCCAAACAAAGGGGATACATTTTTTATTTTGAGTTTAAGAAATACGATGTCATTCTCATGGACAATACTTTTTAGCCTTACATAACAATTTATGTTTTAGATGATTGTATTTACAAGTGTATAAAGCACAATTTGTTGTGTATGCCTAAAAAGTGCTGTGTAATTACTAAGCATGGAAATTGCAACAATCATTCTTTAGAAAGCTGTAAATCCTTACAAACACTTGATGATATTGATTTAGATCACATGATTCCTTAGTTGTAGGATATCTTAAACACTAATAAATAATCAAAAACTTCATCAACGTACTTGGCTATTAGTTTTTACAAGATATGATGACAGAACTATTGCCCAGCAAATAAAATATGATGACAGAACTATTGCCCAGAAGATTTGCACGTATTCCAATAGAGCAAATAGATCGAATGTACATTAAAAGCCATAGTGTTTGAGCTTGAATCGTGTTTGGGGCACTTGTTTAGTAAGTTACCATGGGTATCCTAATACACAGGCAACAAAATTTTTCCATTCATGAAAAAAGCGTCATACAAAATTCAACGGACACCAGTATATATGGAGCTGTGGTGCACCTGGGTACGTGGCTCTTTAAATAGTGAAGGGTGATAGCAGGGAAAATACGGGAGCAAGATGAACCAGAAAAATATATAAGCAATATTTTATTCTCACAAGGGGTAATTAATTATACAAGTGATGAAGTTGTACAACCATGGATTTTACAGAGTACTACACATGGGTTTTGATGGAAGAACTGTATCCAGTTTGATCATCATGGTACTTATCCCACAACATAACTCCTCCATATTTTGCAGAACCTTTGATTCCTGGAAGCACTTTGGAAGTTAGGTCACCAACAGAGATATACCCGCTTCCTGCAGCTGTAGGTGATGCAGGCAGCCCCAAGAAAATCTTGGTTGCTGGGATCTCAGAAGTCCACTGTTTCCAAGAATCTTCAAAACTGGTCATACCTCCCGAGTACTGACAAGGAGGGTTGTTATAGAACTGAACCCAAACATAGTCAAAAAGACCTGTTTTAAGGGCAGTTCCAATATATGCATCTGGGAAAGGACACTGAGGAGCTGCTGTCAAGTACACCTTTTTGCCTCGACTGCTGTATCCAGAAAGATACCTGGCAAGGTCATCCCAGTGTTGGGTGGTTCCTCCTTCAATATCAAAGTCGATTCCATCTAAAACAGCTTCACCAAGAGGACGTGTGGATGATTTCCCACCTAAGAAGTTATTCCAAAGGTAAGTGGCGACTTGTTTGGCATCTGCAGCAGAGGTGAGGTAGTAGCTCCCAGCTGCTCCTCCAATGGTCAGCATCACTTTGATTCCTTTAGTTTGACATGATTTGATTTCAGAGCTTAAATTGGTGCAGCCATTGCTGTATGGATCACAGTGACCTGCAAGATTAATCATGGGGGTTTGACCGTTTCCAAAAGTTGGAAGAAACGCAAGGTTGACGAAATCATAGTTCCCTGTCGAGCAAGTCTCAGCCAACGTGCCCTCACCCCCGTTTTGACCCCAGTAGATAGCAATGCCACCAGCATTGATACCCGCTGCTAGTAACAACATCATTGAAGAGAGTAATCCTAACTTGTATGTCATTTTAAGCCTTGGGTATGAATGATTGTAAGTTTAGGTAATTGTAGAAGGTAATGGTGTGTTCAAGTGTTTGAGAACTCTGGTTTATATAGTGAAGGGATTGGCCTATTGGCATAATACTAATTTTTGAATATTTTAAGGAAATGAAGCACCTTGGAGGGCACTGCGTGGAATCCTCTTTCAGCAGACACTTAATTGGTTGAACTCGTTGGAAAGCTTCTGTCTAGTAGCCAGGTGTGTCATGTATTTTGTCTGTATCTTGTATTCTTGTTATATGCTTTATAAATGTTCTTAAAAAAGCCATTTTATGATTTCTTAATCCTATGTATCAAACAAATTTGTCTTTGTGCTATTGTCCCTGACCTGTGGTACGTGTCTTACGAATATATTCAAGTATATTACTTTGATCACCTTCTCTTGAGAATGCTATATTGTACTTTATGGCATTTACATAGCTTGTAGGTTGTAGGAGACAATAATCAACAAAAATATATGCATCCCGTACTTGATACCTGGTTATTTGAAATTTGTTGGCCCTCCCTCCCTCAAATCTTATCCCTAGAGTATCGTTCAATATTTACAGTTTCCACTCACTCACCATATGCATTTTATAGTCTACTAATCTATCAATGTAGCCAGTAATCTATCACACGAGTTTATATCAATCGTAGTGAACATCATATAAGATACCAACGGAACACTGTCCGTATTAAAATTATTAAAAAAATTACTTCAGCATTAGGTTTTAGAGTTTATAGGAATTTATCAGTTTAACCAGTAATCGCACACGATGACAATGAGAATCATATAAGATGGTCTTGTTCTATTTTGTGGCCACATATACAGGACATTACCTAAAATTATTTGCAAAAACAAAGTTTGGTTGTGGATTTCAAGCCACTTCCTAGAATCCTATGTAACAATACATATAGTTAGTATCAATCAACATTGATCAAAAGTTTATCAGAGTCAAAGATGTTATTTTGGATAACACAACATTGAAAGGCTAGCAGGATAAAGAAGTTTAACTATTTCTCAATAAGACAAATCAAATACAAACAACTTTTCATATTGATTGTTGATTATTGTCTCCAACAAGGCAACAATTTACTAGTCCATGGCATATAACATACAGGGCAACAGAGCATTATGAAGAGAGTTTAGTTATAAGTTATAACTAATACATTTATATTAGTTCATACGATCATATGTCAATGACAATAGCAAAGGAACAAACTTGATTGATACTTTAAATTTAACGAGAAAAATACCGAAAAAAAAAACAACACACTTCAACCATTTTATCGATTTACTCACCTAACTAAATATATATATATATATCCAATTACCCACTAAATTATTTTTAAATAATCATAAAAAACTTAATAATTTAGTAGCTAAAGTGATATTATGGTGAAATTGCGTTGTGATTTTCTGTATTTTGCCTGGAAAATTTGGTTTTTTTTTTTAAAACGGTAAAAAAGTATAATGGTTCAATCATTAAGAGTCTAAAAAAGTGAATTTTGTCCGAGATAAAAAAACCATAATATGTTTCATTTTAGAAGATGGATCTAAATTTAATGTGGCAGACAACAAAAAACAGATAATCCATTAAGATAATTCAACCAATCATTCATGTGTCCATTTCAAGATAATTCAACAGAGTGCCTTACAAGGTGCTTAATCCCTTAACTAATTCAAAGACATTAGCATAAAAATACGCCTTTCACTATTATATAAATGGAACTTGTATTTTGTGTCAGAAATCACACATTTAACTCAAAGTGTAGTGTTAATTCAGTAACAAAGCAACAATGACATTCTATTCAGCATATTCTCTGGCAATTTTGGCCTCATTTCTAGCAACACTAGTGGTGGGCTCTAATGCTGGTGGGATTTCAATTTATTGGGGCCAAAATGGAAATGAAGGAACTTTATCTGACACTTGTAGTACAGGAAACTACGAATATGTAAACATAGCGTTTCTTTGGACATTTGGCAACGGGCGTACACCAAGGATGGACTTAGCTGGCCACTGTGATCCCTATAGCAATGGATGCACCAAATTAAGCTCTGACATCATGTCATGTCAAGCAAAAGGTGTCAAAGTTATGCTATCTATCGGAGGTGGGATAGGCAGCTACTCCATTGCCTCCAAGGAAGATGCTCAGAAAGTTGCTACCTACCTATGGGACAACTTTTTAGGTGGAGAAACAACTAGTATTCGTCCACTTGGCAACACGTCATTGGATGGAATAGATTTTGACATAGAATCAGGCGGAAGTCAACACTGGGATGATCTTGCAAGGTATCTTTCAGCATATAGCACCAAGAGTAAGAAGGTGTACTTAACTGCAGCACCACAATGTCCTTACCCTGATGCATGGTTAGGTGGTGCCCTTCAGACTGGTCTGTTTGACTATGTTTGGGTTCAGTTTTATAACAATCCTCCTTGCCAGTATTCTGCAAATATTAGTAATCTTGAAGATGGTTGGAAGCAGTGGACTTCTGACATTCCGGTGTCCAAGATTTTCTTAGGGCTACCGGCTGCATCTGAAGCAGCTGGAAGCGGTTTTATTCCTGTCAATGATCTTACTTCCAAAGTGCTTCCAGCAATTAAAAGTTCGCCTAAATATGGAGGTGTGATGTTATGGTCCAAGTATTATGATGATCAAACTGGATATAGTGCATCCATTAAGAAATATGTATGATATTCCAAAGAACCAATATTTATGTAATTATTGGTATATCCAACTCTTTTGTTAAGATATTCATATGCAATTTACTATGCTAGTCAAAATTTTCATGGTTATGTTCTACATCTCTGCAGATAGCAACCATATATTCTACAAAATCCACACATATAATGATTGTGTTAAAGAACATGGAACATTGTTTTAGCACAATCTCTTTGAAAATGATATTGTGTATTGACCTTGAAAATTTAAATCTCGACCTAATGTGAAGAATCACGGCTGATGTGATTAATGATAGGTAATATTGTGTATTGATTGTATATTGTGTGTATAATAGGTTAAAAGAAATCTATACATAGAGATAAATATTACACTAAAGTACCCTCTGGTCTAAGGTAATTACAAGAGTGTCAAATAACAGGCGTTGAAGCAGTGGAATTTCTTATGTTATGCACTGTACTTTTGACATGGTTGTGGAAATTAGAAGGAAACTTATTCATGTGTTTGGACCATTACCTAAAGGTGATGAAACTGCATTTTATTTTCATTTACCATGAACATTAAATTTGTTCTGGGAATTTTTTACTCCACGAATGACATTTGGTTGGGGATTTCATACAACATAAACAAATAATGGAAATGCATACATGGCCAATTAACTTCGGATAGAGCATCATGAGTTAACGAATTTACATTGGAGTAAATGATACTGACATCTTAGTACAAAACACAAAGTTCAATTATTTCTGAAAATTAACCAGTTTTATGCCTCGGGTATGTAGTTATGCACTATCATAATTCATTTATTTTTACATTACGAAAAAAGGAATTTGGGAATGTCAGAGGGCCATTTAGGTCCAAAAGTGAAATGTACATGTAGGACGGTATTACATTCTCAAGAAAAGTTCATCAAAGTAATATACTTGAATTAATTTCGTAAGAGCACAGGTCAATGACAATAGCATGGAGACAAATCTATTTTAATACCTTAGAAAGAAACTCATGAAATGGTTTTTTCAGCTAATTATTATATAGCAGATAACAAGAAACAGACAAAACAGATTACAAACCTGAGTACAAGCCAAAGCTTTCCATCAATTTCAACCAATCAAGTGTCTGCTAGAATAGGATTCAACAGAGTGCCCTCCAAGGTGCTTCATTTCCTTAAAATATTTCAGTAAATGGTAACATAAGCATGCCAATAGGCCAATCCCTCCACTATATAAACCAGAATTCTCAAACACTTGAACACACCATTACCTTCTACAATTACCTAAACTTACAATCATTGATACCCAAGGCTAAAAATGTCATACAAGTTAGGATTACTCTCTTCAATGATGTTGTTACTAGCAGTGGGTATCAATGCTGGTGGCATTGCTATCTACTGGGGTCAAAACGGGGGTGAGGGCACGTTGGCTGAGACGTGCTCGACAGGGAACTATGATTTCGTCAACCTTGCGTTTCTTCCAACTTTCGGAAACGGTCAAACCCCCATGATTAATCTTGCAGGTCACTGCGATCCATACAGCAATGGCTGCACCAATTTAAGCTCTGAAATCAAATCATGTCAAGCTAAAGGAATCAAAGTGATGCTTACCATTGGAGGAGCAGCTGGGAGCTACTACCTCACCTCTGCTGCAGATGCCAAACAAGTCGCCACTTACCTCTGGAATAACTTCTTAGGAGGGAAATCATCCACGCGTCCTCTTGGTGAAGCTGTTTTAGATGGAATCGACTTTGATATCGAAGGAGGAACCACCCAACACTGGGATGACCTTGCCAGGTATCTTTCTGGATACAGCAGTCAAGGCAAAAAGGTATACTTGACAGCAGCTCCTCAGTGTCCTTTCCCCGATGCATATATCGGAACTGCCCTTAAAACAGGCCTTTTTGACTATGTTTGGGTTCAATTCTATAACAACCCTCCTTGTCAGTACTCCGGAGGTATGACCAGTTTTGAAGATTCTTGGAAACAATGGACTTCTGAGATACCAGCAACCAAGATTTTCTTGGGGCTGCCTGCATCACCTACAGCTGCAGGAAGTGGATATATCTCTGTTGGTGACCTAACTTCCAAAGTGCTTCCAGGAATCAAAGGTTCTGCAAAATATGGAGGAGTTATGTTGTGGGATAAGTACCATGATGATCAAACTGGATACAGTTCTTCCATCAAAAGTCATGTGTAGTACTTTGTAAAATCCATGGTTGTACAACTTCACTTGTATCTTTTAGTAATTCTTATAAACTATTAAGTAATCAAGATATTCCTAAATTTTGTCTATACTGAAGAACATTTTGTCTGTTTACACTTGCAGGATATGTCCAGATCTTACAGGTAATCAGTTACTAAAAAAACATGTATATCATTTTGGAAGTTGGTTTAAATTCATTATTGCGATTTAAGGTCACAATAACCAGGTTCAGGTGTTTGATTTTACTAGTTATTGTTGCCAGATTATTTATTGTTACTAGTTTAGATGAATATAAACTCACCTTATTGCCCCTCAATTTAACAACCGACCATCCAAATTTGATTTTTTAATCGCAAACAATAACTTAGTACAAAAACCCACAAATTATTTTCACACTGCTTATAACATTCGAATGATCGAATCATATTACAAAAAATGAGAAATCCACAAACTATATTCCCAGAACGGATAGCAATTAGCAAGAACTTGAACACCATGCTAACTATGTTCAGAACCCTTCGTGAAATTATGAACTTCAGATTTGTGTTAAAAACAGAACCCTTCGTGAAATTATGAACTTATGAATGTTCAGGATTTCTAGGTAATTTAGTGGAATTAAAAACTTTGAAAAAGTATAAAATAGAATCTTTCATGTCATATATAATTAGTATTCCAAAATAACAAACAGGTGGTCGTGCCGGAGTGGTTATCGGGCATGACTAGAAATCATGTGGGCTCTGCCCGCGCAGGTTCGAATCCTGCCGACCACGTATTTTTAGTTTTTCGGACATTTTGAATTTAATTTTTTTTTTAACTATTGAGATGGTATAATGGAAAAGTGGTTATCATACTTTTATAAATTTTCCAATAAACTGATTAAAATTGAAAAAAGAGCTAACCTTTGAAATACAAACTGTAAAAGACTATTATTATACTTGATTTTTAATTTTTTTTAATTACTATTGAGATGGTATAATGGAAAGGTGGTTATCATACTTTTATAAATTTTCCAATAAACTGATTAAAATTGAAAAAAGAGCTAACCTTTGAAATACAAACTGTAAAAGACTATTATTATACTTGATTTTTAATTTTTTTTAATTACTATTGAGATGGTATAATGGAAAGGTGGTTATCATACTTTTATAAATTTTCCAATAAACTGATTAAAATTGAAAACATATGTTACCAACCCGCATGATTGTTTTCTCAAGGCTGGTTCTTTATGTATACATATTTTATTTGTTTGTTTGACTTTGCTTTCAAACTAGAAAAGATAGCTTCCGACAATAAATCAAGTTATTTTAAACAATCAAGCTACCACAACAATAAAACATATTGATATAATATTTATAGAGTAGGAATATCTGTGACAAATTACAATGAAAACAATTTGAACCCATAATAACACGTGGAAACAAATCAAACAATATGCGTAAAGATACAATGACACTCCTGTAAAAATCACAAGAATATTAATATTTCATTCCAAATAAAAGGACGAAAAGCAAAAGGTAACTTGGTGCTCCAAATTTGCTTCCATTCGATGCATTGTTATTTGTTGATGGCGTTGATTTTGATCCAGATCCATCTCCAGATGCTACAAATGCAGATAACTTAATTAATATAAAAAAAAACTAAAGAATTCAAGTTCAATATCATCAATGGCATAACACATTACTTGAAGGAACACTTGGTGTCGATGTTGTAGTGGGAGCTTCGGTTTCAGGGGTTTCTCCTGATGGCTCAGTTTGTGAGCCGATGGGAGAAACTGTTGAACTTGTAGGTCCACTAGCAGGGTCCATTAGCAACAGCTATTAAAACAATTTTGGAGTAATGAATAACTAAAAGATTAAATTTCAATAAAGATATTTAAAAAGGCAAAAATGAATCATACCATTGCATAGGTTAAGTGGAGGAGTTTGTACTTGACATGCACCGGGAAGGCTTATTGCAAGAGTTTGATTAATAGTAACACCGATGTTAGGGCCATTGCCATTGAGCAACGAGCAAAGGCAACGTGGTTGTGACTGTACCACGGTTGAGAGTTGTGAGCAACATGAAGGTGTGGGGGTAGACGAGTTGCCTGTGACATAGTTTAGGCATGAAGCTAAACCCATGAGTGTGTTGGTGCAAGTGCTTGATTGAGCCCGGGCTCCACCCCAGACCATGACCATTAGGACTAGGACTAGGCTCATGACTTCTTGACCTTTTAAAGCCATTGGTTAGGTAAGATTAACTTTGCTATGAACACAATGAGGGTATGAGTGTTTGTGATCAAGTGTGATTGATATCGCCTTATGCTTTTGTGGGATTAATGACATGTATTTATAAAGAGATCGAAGTTATGGAGCCCAGGAAATGATTGGGGTTTGATATGATTAATTGATTTATATATAGTTTTGGTAGCCAACTTTACCGATTTATGGCTTTGATTTCTAATTATTTAAGTTCCATGATTTTTCCCACTGATTTTGACATAAGAAAGATTTATTTTTTTGATATATCTGCACACACACTAATACACCCATACACACACGTATATACAACATACACTATACATACATTAACATAAAAACATATACAAATACACACATGTAAAGTCATCTTTCAAAAGGTTTACCTATTGAGTGTGTTTTTGTGTGTGTGTGTGTGTTTTTTTTTCTTTTTGTAAATCAATTTTGTAACCTGTGCAAAACAATCAAAACCGAGTTTACAGTTTATATCAGTTTACAAAACAAAAAGTTTAGATTGCTTTTGTTTCTATAAAATTAAAACTGGTTTTCTCATATCTAGGAATGTAAATACAAAAGAAAAAAAAAAGGAAGCCAACCCAATAGTAACTCTGTCACCATAGGTAGGGGTGTAATCGGGTCAAATAGTGCTAAGCTCGAACCTCGACTCGACCAAAAAAACTCGAGCTCGAAACTCGATACAAACTCAGTCGAACTTGGATTTCCAAGCTCGAGTTCGAGCTTGTGAAATACTCCACACTATCAAGCTCGGCTCGGTCCAATTCGTTTAAATTATTAAAAAAAAAATACAAAAATACAAAAATCATTAGAATACCTTAAATTCAAGATCAACTTACATTTAAAATTGCAAATATAATACTATTACATAGCATTTGTAATTTTGTACCAATGGAAATCAATACCAACTAAATTTTCAAAAAATTTCACATGCTTTTGTATTGTCTAAATAGGAATAAAAGCAGAGCAACCATTCAATCATCAAGAAAGTTTTTAACAATATAATGAACAACTATTTGCCTGGGATACACTAACATAAATGCATAAACATGAATATATATATATATATATATATATATATATATATATATATATATATATATATATATATATGTATATATTATTAAATTAAAAAAAAGTATCATAAAAAATAATGAGAAACGAATAAGTAATCCTTGTTCTTTCTTTTCAATACATGGAGACTTGGACATCAATCTCCTCCAAAAAATAAGACTTTATTGTTTCGAGATTTAATTATGCTCTATATGACGGACATTATGCAAAACATATAAAACCTATGTGTGCATGCAACCTTAAAAATTGATCTATTTTTTCTCTAATTGAACATACAACTTTGAACAACAAAATAGAAAACTCTGGAATACTAGTGTATAATCGAAAAATACAGATAGGGTTATAAGAATCATACATTTATTGTTATATAGTAATAACAATGCAATCCTTACGTTGTTGAAGCCTTGAGAGCAAGCGTCACAAATGTCACGCATCTAATGGTTCACACCCAACACTAGCAAAAGAAAACAATTGAGAGAAAGGAGAGAGGCTCAAGTATTATGCTATCTCTTCAAGAGAAAGAGTTGGCTGAAAATCATAGGGTTATGTCATATTTATAGTGCAGTCAGGAAACCCTAGATAAGCCTAAATCCAAGATCAACTTAAACCGGGTAATTATCCACTTTCCTGATTATCCATTAGCGATTATTCTAGAATCCCTTAACCCTTAAGAAACCGTCCAAGGCTCTATGGAGGGTTCTAGATTGCCTCTTGCTCAACTATTGAACAATTACAATACAGTCCCTGCATTTTTAATTAATTTCTTTAATCCCAAAATTAATTCCAATTAATTTCTGATTAAATATTAATTAAATATTACTATTTCTAATTAATATATTATTCTCATAATATATTAACAAATTATTTATTTCAATTTATTATCAAATAATAAATCAACCTCTTTCTCCAAAATCATCTGTCTAGTTGCTAGTTTTGAGGGCAACCCAAAAGGATTGTGCTACTATCAATTTAAGTATATACCAATTATAGTTACGGGCTTAGACACCCAATCCAACAGTCTCCCACTTGGATAAGTCTAATAACTATAATTGCCAGTATACTCTTCTAAAACTGATCAGCAAATTATAGCTCTCAAAGCCGTTGTCGAACTCTGACCTAATCAGTCACATGTCCTAAGATAAGTGGTCAGATATTCCTCTGTTCCACAAGATATCGTTTTAATTATTCAAATTTTAATACTTTTAAAATAATAATTAAGGAAAGTAGATAAACCCTATCTAACCCTAGCAAATTTCGAAATCTAAGTGTGGAGGCTAGGGTTTCAAGAACCCTAGCAATTTTTCGAAATCTAAGTGTGGAGGCTAGGGTTTCAAGAACCCTAGAAAATTTTGAAAATTCCTTCCTTGGGGTTTAATTTCTATAAACCCTAATTTTGATCCATTCAACATTGTGCAAGATCAATTGAAAACTATGGCTCTGATACCATTGATAGGTTTTATAGGTTAGGAAAAAAAAAATTATATGGCGGAAAAAACTTAACCCTATGTTCACATGCAACCTATTGGATCTAAGTTTTCTCTATTGATAGCAACAAACAATTGAACATCAAAGAACCCTAGGAATACCCTATGATTTTCGAAATCCATAAAGGTTTAGGGTTTATATACCTTTTTGATTAGTGTAGTAAATAATCAAATGTAACATTCATAAAAATTTTAAAAAATTTAAACTTTTAAAATTTTACTCAAAACCATCATTGTTTACAAATTGTTTCCAAAATAAGTTTAACATCAGAGAAATCCCAAAATCGTGAAATAAAACATGAGGAGGTGAACGATCACGCCTTCGCCTTCCCGTGATCCTCTGAAGTACCTGAAACATAATCCAAAACTGTAAGCCCAAAGCTTAGTGAGTTTCCCCAAAATATCAATACATAGCAAACAACACAAAATATAATAACAACATACTGTGGGCCCAATCAACCATCTGGTTGGAATACCCCAGACCCCTCAACCATTGGGTTGGAATGCCAACATACTATGGGTACAATCATCCTCGGGATGGAATACCCTAGGCCCTCAACCATCGGGTTAGAATGCCCCGGCATGTTGGATTACGCACAAAGCAGTGAAGCCTCAGCCACCAACCAATCCTGTGCACATAATACAGATAAACATATTACTAACCAGTCAGCAAACAAACAGACAGATCTTACAGATCACTAAGCATAGAAACATCCTAAATACCAAGATACTGTTCTAACAGATCACTACAACACTATAGCATACATAGTGGGATATCAAATCCAAAGGGCCGACCTTGGTGCCTTCGACCTGCAAGTACAGTGAGGAAGACTCACCTCACAAGTAGTGTAGAACTGATAAGGTATGACTCTTAATCTCAGATCCCGACTCAAATGCCTACAACCACCATGCGTCCAATTCCATCAAAATCCCAAAATGCCCTCAAAAGTCAAACTTGGTCAACCATGGTCAAAGTCAAAGTCAACAGTCAAGGTCAACAATGCATGCTTACCCAACTCGTCGAGTGCACCAATAAACTCGTAAAGTTCCTACAGTAATCAGAAGGTCGGGAAAATCCCGTCCAACACACCGAGTTGGCTTGCAAACTCATCGAGTTTGCCCGAGCTTAATACATTCAGTTGATCTTATGATTTCAGGGACTCCAAGACTCAGATCTAACCTCAAATACTATAAAAAATGATAAAGTCTCCAACTTTATCCTTTAGGGCTACTCCATGAGATTAAAAACCGATCCACGAGGCTTGAAGATTCAAGGGCTTAACCAATAAGCACAAAATCCTTGAGATCTGGAACCCAACCTTTCCAGAAGAGATTCTAGCCTCAAAATCGACCCAAAGGTTGGTGCTTTATAGACATGCATGTCCAATTCATGTATTGAATCCAAAATGGGTCAAAAGGGGGGATATGACTTAAACTCCATTGTGACATCCCCATTTTCACGGCCAAAAAAGACCGATTTTGTTTATGCTTTATAAAAATCAGAGTATCTTTTTTAATAAAAATGTTGCAGAATTTGTTCCCAGAAAAACATGATAAATACGTTATCAAATCATTTCCGAAGAAATGTATTTTTATTTATTTTTAAAACATTGGGATGTCATCGTCAATACAGAAACATAAGCATAAACGGAACTTACATTCATTTATACTAGTGATCTACATCTCTTTTAAATCTCTCAGTGTAAAGTAGCTTCATATCAACACCTGTGATACAAATAAGCTTGAGTGGGTCAGGTTGGGAAACCTGGTGAGTACATAGGGTTTTCAACCCACAATAATATAATTATTATGTTTAAACATCAAACAATTAACCCAATTACCCATCCCCATTATCTTCTTTACTCTTAAGGATCTACCCTAAGAATCAACTATTCCTCGTTCATTCATTCCTAAGGATCATCCTAAGGAATCAGAACGAAGTCCATCGTCACCGGGGTTTAGGCACTAAGTCTGCATAGTCGCCAGGATTTATACAGCAGGCACTAAGTCCGCATAGTCGCCAGGGTTTAGGCACTAAGTCTGCATAGTCGCCAGAGTTTATACAACAGGCACTAAGTCCGCATAGTCGCCAGGGTTTTGGCACCAAGTTTGCATGATCGCCAAGGTTTAGGCACCAAGTATGCATGATCGCCAGGGTTTAGAGTACACCGGGTGAACACATCGTTCACAATACCTACAGGTTGCGAGCCTGCTAGTGTTCCACTGGACTGTCTAGAATAGTCTGTGGTTGTCATCCATACTCTGCTAGATGACGGGGCCATCATTTGGGAACAAGGCTTCTCACATCGTCCACCTCTCACCCTTACCTCATGATCTATATCACCTCTCAACTCATCATCCAACTCATATTTCATCTACCCATGTTTTACCCAACATATTATGTAGATATAAATACATATACAGTTTAAATCATATAAAACTTGTATAAAATCGTTCATCCAGCATAGATAGTAAGTATACAAATAATATG